TTTAATGTGTAATTTTTTGTTCACTGGTAGTTTTTTAATTGTTTTATAAGTGTTCCAGAGTAATCGGCAATACATTTTAATTTTCAACTCTATTTGTTGTTGTGTCTTTTTTTTCATCTTTTTATTTTTATGTTATTTTTGTAAAATGTTTTAGTTTTTTTTTTTTTTTTATTATTATTTAAAAAGACGTTTAAAATTTGGTTTTTGAACTGGATTAGTATCCAGGTAATCAAAATTAATTAATTCGGGAGTAAAGTTTTATTTAAAAAAAAATATTGACTGACTTTGGATTTTTCTTTGGAACGTATAGAGAGCCCTCTTTTTAGTTAGTCTTATTGGCACATGTATGATTGTTTAGTTTTTATTTTATTTGTAATGCTTTTATGTTTTGTTATTTAAAACATATATATATATATATATATATATATATTTGGCTTATATATTTATAATCGTGTGTTACTATTATTAAATTTTTTTGGATTATTTTATTTTTTTTTGAAATTAGAGGAGAAAATAAATTTTTTTTATATATTAAGGAATTTAATAAACAAAGTGGTACAAACCATCCGTCAATGGTCTACAGGAGCGTAAGTTGTAGTATGGTAGAGGTAAGGAAACTTGTCTCTATGTTTAAAAGTATTAGTTTATATTAGAATAGAGAATTGTAAATACTTTGGATTTTCTTTGTTTGTTTTTTATTATATTGGTATTTTTTATAATTATTTTTATTTTACAGGCTGTTGTTTTTTTACCTTTAATAGGACATCATTTTTTGGGTGGAACTCAGTATCGTATTGAACCTAATAAAGTTGGTTACTCTGGAGTTTTTCAAGCGTTATTTGGTGGTCTTAAATTACTAAAGAAGGAAGGTAAAGAAGATTTTTTTTATTTTTCTTCTTGACTATCTTTTTGTTAATGCATGTTTGTGGTTATTATATATGTATATATATATACCCTATTATATTTCGTTAAGGTGTATTAGGGTGGATGTCAGGTTAGTTTTATTTATAAATATGAGTACTTCTTTCTTTTTTAATTGTCTTTTGTATCCTTTGTATAATTCTTTTCATGAATGAAGGATGTTTTTTTTTTCGAAGATATTAGTGGGCAATATTCTAGAAGCTTTAATATGTCCTTCCAACAATACTTGAATGATAACAAACCATTTACAAAGCAACAATAAACATGTTCTTGCATTAGTTACCACTTATAAACCAATTGCAAGCCACTTGTAAACGACTCACAAACCACTTCACAAACAACTACAAACCAATTAAAACCAAATCAATTGCAAACCAATTGCAAACCACCTATAAACCAATACAAACCAATTACAAACCAATTGCAAACCAATTACAAACCAATTATAAACCACCTACAAACCAATTACAAACCACTCACAAACCAGTTACAAACCACTTACAAACCAATTGCAAACCAATACAAACCACCAACAAACCAATTACAAACCACTCACAAACCAATTACAAACCATTCACAAACCAATTACAAACCACTCACAAACCAATTACAAACCACTCACAAACCAATTACAAACCGCTTTACAAACCAATTACAAACCACTTACAAAACCAATTGCAAACCAATTACAAACCACTTACAAACCAATTACAAACCACCAACAAACCAATTACAAACCACTGCAAACCAATTACAAAACCAATTACAAACCACTTACAAACCACTCGCAAACCAATTACAAACCAGTTACAAACCAATTACAAACCATCACAAACCAATTACAAACCACTCACAAACCAATTACAAACCGCTTCACAAAACCAATGTTCAAACCACTTACAAACCAATTGCAAACCAATTACAAACCAGTTACAAACCAATTACAAACCACTTTCAAACCAATTACAAACCACCTACAACTAATATATGAAACCACATTACAAACCAATCAAAACCACTTACAAACCAATTACAAAACCGCTTACAAACCGATTATAAACCAGCTGCAAAGCATTTACAAACCACTTACAAAACCGCCCAAATTTTATAGTTACTACTCAGAAATTAATTTATAGTTACTACTCAGAATATTCGCTCTGTTGCTGTTGTTTACTTTAGATCAGGCAAACATGTTTTTTGATCTTCTATTTAACTTTTTTGTTAGTGTTATATGTACCTATGTAATATATATGATATATATATATATATATATACCCTATTATACTGCATATATATATACCCTATTATATTTCGTTAAGGTGTATTAGGTGGATGTCAGTTAGTTTTATTTATAAATATGAGTACTTCTTATTCTTTTAATTGTCTTTTGTATCCTTTGTATAATTCTTTTTTCATGAATGAAGGATGTTTTTTTTTTCGAAGATATTAGTGGGGGCAATATTCTAGAAGCTTTAATATGTCCTTCCAACAATACTTGAATGATAACAAACCATTTACAAAGCAACAATAAACATGTTCTTGCATTAGTTACCACTTATAAACCAATTGCAAGCCACTTATAAACGACTCACAAACCACTCACAAACAACCTATAAAACCTAATTAAAACCAAATCAATTGCAAACCATTGCAAACCACCTATAAACCATTACAAACCAATTCAAACCAATTAAACCAATTACAAACCAATTATAAACCACCTACAAACCAATTACAAACCACTCACAAACCAGTTACAAACCACTTACAAACCAATTGCAACCACTATAAACCACCAACAAACCAATTACAAACCACTCACAAACCAATTACAAACCACCACAAACCAATTACAAACCACTCACAAACCAATTACAAACCACTCACAAACCATTAAACAAACCGCTATTAAACCAATTACAAACCATTACAAACCAATTGCAAACCAATTACAAACCACTTACAAACCAATTTACAAACCACCAACAAACCAATTACAAACCACTCGCAAACCAATTACAAACCAATTACAAACCACTTACAAACCACTCGCAAACCAATTACAAACCAGTTACAAACCACTACAAACCACTTTCAAACCAATTACAAACCACCTACAAACCAATTACAAACCACTCACAAACCAATCACAAACCACTTACAAACCAATTACAAACCGCTTACAAACCGATTATAAACCAGCTGCAAAGCATTTACAAACCACTTACAAACCGCCCAAAACCTGCCTTATTTCATGCAATTAAAAATAAAAACAAAAGTTTTCTGTGCCGATAAAAACGAGCTTTCTGTGCTAATTGCATTTCAGGATATTAGCAAATCATTCAAACTAGACAAGATGAACAAATGCGTTAAAAGGAAAGTTGAAAAATTAGAAAACTACAATCCAAAACAATTTTCGTTATTTGGATAAAGTTTTGGCTAGAAATTTCTGGAAAAATATTTGCATTGCACTGAGAATGGCTCAATAAATAATGCTTTCGCTTTCTCTATTGTGATAAATTCACTGCAACCAGATTGATGAATAGATCATTTACTACATTATGTTTGCAACAGAAAAAGTTGATTAGAACAAAGTTAAATAGTACATAAAGTTTGCTAAATTGATGGGTTAAATAAACGATATTCACAACAGATTGTTTTAAATTGCAATTAAAGGCAAGCGAAGAGAACACATAGTTGGATATTTATATAAAACATATTTTGTCATTTTTCGCTATTTATTGCTTTTAATTATTGAAGACTAAGAATTGTGCAGATTTATAGCGCGGATCAAGTAGTTGAAGTAATGACATGGTCATAGATCGCAAAACGATAACTTCTGACTCGGCACTTCATAGTAATATTGATTGTTCTCGGAACAGTTTCATTAATATTTGAAACTCATTTTTATACACTGCTTCATTTATAAAAGATTTTTTTAGATTTTAGATGAGAAACACTAATTTAAGATGCCAATGAACTGATTAAATAATAGGACAATTACATTATTTTACCAATTTCACTAGAGCAAAAAATGAGCAAAAATGCTATAATTCAAAAACAAACCTGAAGATCTGCATGATCTACAAGAACATAATGTAAGGTTTTAGACATAATCAAAAAATTACAGATACAAAATCACTGAAGTGGTTGCATTATTTCTAGAAGCCAGAAGGCTGTTCAATAGTGCATCTAAGTGCTCTTAATGAGAGACATATAATGTTGTTTTATTATCTACAGGATAACAAAGCTTTCTGTTCTAAAAGATAATTAGGAATTATGTAAAGTACAAAAATTCTTTATTTTCTTTATAGTATTACTTTAGCAGAGCTCTCATTATAATCTGCTTATCATTACATTTATCACTACATATGAATGCAATGATAAAGAATATTATCAGTTCGGTAATGCTTGAAATTGGATGAAAGTGCGATTGCACAAAGATAAATATTGTAGATCAGGCATCACTCAGGGATTATATGGATTAACACAAATAGATATATCGCTGTTCATATTGTTCTGTTCATATTGCCAGTCTTCGTTAAAACATTTATCAGTGATAAGATGGGATAAGGATTTGACATATTCGTGACACTGAAAAGTAGGCGACCGGATCAATTCTTTCGGTCTTTCAGTAATTAATTCCATTACTATGAAATGACTTGTAGATAGTTAGGCATGCATTTAGGTATGGTATGCATGTATGTGTATGTGTGAATTTTTATGCATGTCCTTGTATATGTGCATGTAAACCGTCTGAGAGGTTGTGCAAATCATGGAACAGCAATATTGATAAAATTCTGTCAGCTTTATTAAACATTTCTAAACAAAATAACAAAAGAAGAAAACTATTAGAACTCGTTAACTGAAATTCATAATACATAACGTGGTAAAAAAAAAAAAAAAAAAGAAAAATGACCGAACATTAAAGCGATTCACAAATTCCATTTGACAAAGTAATGAAAAAGAAGAAAGTCTATAGAAATTTTCATAGCTTTCACAATCGATCAAATTTTATTTCTCAAGCACAGAGTTTTGAAATGTATAAATTATATTTCAAGATTCTAATCAAACTACTTTTAAAGAAACCATCCAAACAAAGTTGCCGCTCCAATTGAAAACCTGGAAGAAAATTTGCATCAGCTTAAACCGGCATAAAACATCAGCTGAGTGCAAAGTAAGCTATAATATGAACTAACCAGAAACAAGCATACATCATATGATCATTTCTGTGGTTTACTCTTGTCTGACCTCCGATTGGACCACCTCGAATACTAGATTCTAAAATGATAACTTAAAGACTTTTCAAAAATAAAGTAATCTCATTTCATAAATAAATTCATGCTTCTACAGAAGATTTAGGTTACAAATTTCATATTTTAATATCAAAATTCAAATCTTCATACCATAACATGCATCAACAAGAACGGGTAATGTGCCATGTTTTTCTGCCATTTGTTCAATATCTGTGTAAAACCAAAGGTCATTGTCAGGATCATTTCGCCGAATAAAGGACGGCCTCTAAAATAAACAATTTGGAAATTAAAAAACAATGGTTTTTAAAATAAACAAACAAGACCACTACTGTCTCTATATATACTGGCTAAATTAATCTTCAAGATTACTGCTACAACTTCTTGAAACTTTCCCATATTTTGTTCTTGGTCCTCTAAAATTGGATTGACTAAACATAGGTTTCTGAATTAGGTGAAAAAAAGTCACAGTCAATAAAGTAAGTTACCTTTTCGGTATGACGAACTACTGCATCAAAGGTAACTTGTCCTTGCACTTGTCCTTCAGTTCGACTTGAAGGAATGATTTTTGCGGAGAAACCCATCCGCGATTAACCAGAATGATCTGGCTGAATAAATAATTATATCAAATAATTTCAACAAATGCAAAAGACGAAACAAAGTTGATGAAGCAAGGGAAAAGGTCTTACATGGATTCTTTAAATCTAATCAGTTTAGAAATTGAATCCTAACAATAATAAATATGCAAAAGCATCAAAATTTGCGTGTATATTGCAATTAAATTTAAATCTGTATAATCACGAACTAAACAAATAGCATCCTCTCTGTGCCTAAAACGAATTATTTTATCCTTGAAAATTTACCCCGATGGATGAAGTTTAAACGGAGTGATAATGCACCAGGGCTACCAAAATTATTTACTGCAGGTCGAATTTTCGATTTCTTTTCCTCTGAAAGTCTCATTGATATCTCACTTTTTTATATGACACAAAGGTTGCACAAATGAGTTTCACCTTTATCAAATCGTTGCCTTGGTTGCACATAAAATTCATGGTCATGAAGAAATTCACCCGTTACTTTCACTTTTGCATATTCAAGATCGTCCAATGACGACAAACTAAATCCAAAGAATTTAAATTTTTGTATAGATCATGCGAAGTTTCTTTTCTTTCTTTTTTTTAGAAACCGATTAGTTTAATAACTTATTTAATTATATAAATATGTACACGTCATTTAGAATATGCTATTACTGAAATGAAAATCTTCTGAAATAATTTAAAGTATTACTTATCATCTGGAAATGGTACAGCTTCCTGTTTCATTCTATCTTCTATTTTTTCAATAAATTTGTTTTCCACTGCAATCTCTGTAACTGCCATACACCAAGAGCAAATGCCACTAATGGTGCAGCCTGCAATCGTCTTTTTATACTTTTAATGTATATTCACAAGAATTAAATCTCAAGAATGCATAGATTCAAATGCCACATTTTTCTTAACAAAATTCATTACTCAATTAACGATGGAAAATTTTTTGGAAAAAATGCAAAGTCTAAAATTCAATACCAATCCAAAAGGAGAACGCTTGGTCCAGCGTATTTTGAGCCTTCTTTCTGAGATTCTTCTGAAAGCTTGTTGACCTAAAATTGATAACATTTCTTTCTTTAGTAGCTTTTATCCTTTCAAAACTTTTTGAACAAATGAATATGTTATGATAATGCATGATGGATCGAATTTTTCATAAAATATATATTTCAATTTTACTATACAACTGTTTCTTTTTATAATATTGAATAAGTATAATTTTTATAATATTGAATAAGTACAAGCATTCAGTTCTGAGTCACAAGTAGCCTATAAAAGAGCGCTAACAAAATATTCATTTTGATCTTTTCATTTAAATATTAACCAATTTATCTTCTCAGTACCTCTTATTAATTTCGCGATAGTATAAAATTATTTCCAACATACATAATCCAATTCCCACCTATGTAATCCATTCATTTCCTGATGATACATGCAATTATTATAGCTCAGCGATTTTAGCTAAAATTTGATCGGTGATTATTAGACTGAATTCAACATTTCAAGTTTCTTTTTTCCTTTTCTGGAAGTAGGAACATCCAACAAAATTATTACAGTCAGTTAGATTGTCAATAAGATAAGAAAAATAAACTTGCATCATAAATTGATGGATTTTGTGTAGAACGACGAAACAGGCAATGAATATTCTTATCAGAGATCAAATGTTGCAGGAGTTGTTTATTGGTTAAACGGCCGGGAATATTCATCATTCTGAGTTTTCGCAACAGCAATTAGTATACAAGAAATCTCTCTGCTATGGCTAGCACAAATATCATTTTCCTTTAAAAAGAACGCGTGGAGATCAAATATAAAATGTGTAAGGTTTATAGATAACAAATGAAAACCCGTTTTGTGATGAATAAAATTGAAATATTTTTCACTTCATAAAGCCAACTTGTAATAGTCCAAAAAACAGAAAATCATTTCGTATCAAAACTTTTATCAAACAAAAGTTTCCGTGAATTCATCACATAGCATAAAGTAATTGCAAGTACAATATAGCAATCAATATAATACAATTTCATATTAATATAAATCAATTTAATTAGATTTAATCCAAGGAGAGAAAACAACAAGAAAATATTCACAAATTAAAATCATTTAACAGTATGCTTTTATTAAAATGTCCATTAATTGGTCATTAAAAGCCTGCCAAAAGTGGGAAGTGTTTTTGTTAATTTAAAGCCAATATATCACAACTTATTGGGAATCAAAAAAAAATTGCAATTTACTGTTTTTTTTTTCGAATTCCAACAACAGTGAATAACTCTATTAGATCGTATTTAAAAAATTAACATAAAAAATAAGAATCAATTAAAATTAATCTTTAGTGAATCTCATAAATAAATTTGATTTTATTATAACAAATGTAATCGAGCATTATAAAATATTTTAAAAATGAAAAAAAGCTTACATTACACATCAACGATGCCAATTTATTGGGCATAAAAACTTTGAAATATTCAGTTTTTAGTTAGAATTCTTGAAGTTATTAAGTAATAATTAGGAACAATTCGTGCTTCAGTTATTCGATTCTAAAATACTAAATAATTAATTTGTCGCACCATAAATACAAGAATTAATTATTAGGCCGAACCATCTATAATGGAATTCTATGGTTCGTCCAGAGAAATTTGTTAAATAAAAATCAATGAATGTGAAGTGTGGAGGTGATTGATAGTAATTGGTGATTGGTTAGGTTATCAATGGTTGATTACGTTATCAGAAACATTAATATAAAGTATAGATTAGATTAATATGTTAGAATTAAGATATTATTGATTTCGAGTAAATGAGAGAATAGGCTTAGCAATTATTTTACAGGTTAAGATGATATCAGAATCGTTGTATATAGAAATGATGAAGAATTGCTCGAAATGGAACAGTCGGGTAGAAACAGAACGAAAAGGTCGATATACGGTATTAGATCCTCAAACTGGTATAGCACAGCACCCATCACATCATGCCATTTATGAACTATCTAATCGATATCCACCATCAAATCCTTCTCAGGTTTATCAACATAATTTTTCCTTCATTAAAATGAAATTCCCTTCATATATTAGATTATCATATATTAGAATCGTGTATTCGACTATCACGTACTATAATAACGAAGTATTTAGTTGTTTTTTTCTGGCAAGCAAGTAAAATTTGGGCAAATAAATTACAAAAAGGAAGAAGAGGCCAAAAAAAAAAAAATTTTTTTCTTCTACGAGTGTTGCATTGCCCACTTAATGTTTCGATACTCGCAAGTTTAAAATTAATGTAGGTTGTGAAAATTGATACACAATTCATCATTGCACCACTTTGTATTACTGCGAAGAATGCATTGCACTGATACATTAAATTAAATGACCACTAACTTTTGTACATTGTAAAACTATCATTATTATCCGCAAAATTACTGATAATATTACACTGTCACTAGCGGAATTATTAGTAAATTTTTCTGCTTTCTTAACATTGGTGCAGTTTTAGATACTTATTGTTATTATAACTATAATTATAGTGTTGAAATTGCTCGTGTTGTTATCCTTTGTGTGATGAATTCGTTATAGTTTCAGTCGCAGTTTAAATGTACTCATGTTATTGTTGTTTTTGTCGCTATTTTTGTTTCATTGTCTTGAGAGTGAGTGTAGGTTTTATATTAAGTTATAATTGTAGGTGTTTTCGATTAAATTACCATGTATTTTTTGTATCATATGTGGTTCCTTACCTTCGTACACTTCCAATATTTCACATTTTAATTTCACTTTTCAATTTTTCATAGATTTCTGTTATCCCAATAACAATTTTTTTTCAGTATTGCACATATGGTAGCAGGCGTTGGAAGAAAAGGAAGTCAGCGCCAACATCAGATGCAACTGAAATGAAATATATATTAGAATGTAATCCAACAATTAGCGATGTGATAAATCAAGCTAGTTCAGCCGGCCAGGGTAACTACGGGATCTTATTATTTATTTATTTTGTTTTTGGTATTTTTTTTGCTTTGAAATGGTTCTATAAAATTTAATTCTTAAAAGAGATTTGCGAATCATTGTTCGTGTACTATCGAAATTTTATTTTCACTATCATTTCTTTTTTAGATCCGACTGATTTTCAATCACTGACAGCGATGGCGAATTCATCATTAGAAAATCATTTCACTGAAAAAAGAAAAGTCTATGTAAGTCTTAACTTGATTAATTTATGTATGAAGTTTTACGATAAAAGAAGGGAAATGGTTGATTTTCAAGGTTATTTTTAATTTATATGCAAGCTTTTTGAAGAAGCTTATATCGATCCAAGCATTAAGTTTGTTTGCTTCTTTATCGTGCAATGATAAAACAATGAATTAATTTTGATTCATTGTTGGTTAATCTGTCGATGATGATGGCAATTTAATTATCCTATATTTATAGGTTATAAAAGAACCAGGAGTAGACATGGAAGTGGAGGAAGCAAGCGAAGAAGATCCTGGTGAGGCGTCAGATGAAGAAGAATGGTCAGATGGAAGAAAAAAAAAAGGAGAGGTGCTGCAGGAGGGAGTCGGGGTGGACGCAAAAATGCGACAACCTTATCTGTGAATATACCGCCAACGCAGGGATTTACACCAGATCCCAAACCTTTTTCATGTAATTGTAAGTGTTTCGTAATTTCTGGACCTTTTTTTTTTTTACTGTGCGTGAAGTATTAATAATATCCTATCCGGTCACCTTTCTTCTTTCATCGACTAACTGTGGAAATATTTTTTGGTGTTAATTTCTAAATTCGATAACATTAATTTCCATTTAATTGGTACTCATCCTTTCAGTATGCGGTGCCAAATATAAAAGTCGTCCGGGTTTAAACTATCATCGAGCTCATGTGCATGCAGATAATGTCAGTCCATCAACAACGCCCCAACCAGCACATCGTATTGATTGATTCTTTTGCTTTATTGGTTACCAGTTTATTTATTGCAGAGGGATACAAACATCTGGGTTTAGTTGTCATCTCCGGGTAGCATCCAGAACTTTTTCAGCTTACAACGATTCAAACGGGTTTACTTTATCAAACTATAACTGTATCAAAAAATGCTTGTTTTCGGTGATACACACATTTGTTGTTATCCATTTGCTTTCGGAAATGTCCAATTAGTATTTCTTTATATATATTAATAAGTATAAAAACTTTCTCCAATGAGGTTTTTGGCAGTAACACAACAGAGCGTAGTATTTTGAAGAAGTCGAAAAACTGAAGACATTTCAAATTTGGAAACTGCCAGAAGGTCAGAGATTGTTTTTAATTTTTAAGATTGGCTTATCGAATTGCAATATGCTTACGAAATGCATGGTTGGGTATAGGCACATATAGCCCATTCCAGGACTATCACCATGTATAAAAAAATTGATCCCTAAATAGTGGCACAAAATTCCGTGGATATTACAGCTGTTTGGAAAATATGCTGCATTCATTACAGCATGCTTAAATTGGATTGTCTGTGTTGCTTGCGGGTTGCTCATGATGAGTGCTTTTCAGTGCTATCGCCGAGTATCGATGTGTCCACGGTTTGCGACTTATGTTTGGGTGATTGCAACCAGAACAAAAACAATGAAACCGGAACAGCTTATTAGCTGTCATGATTGTGGAAGATCAGGTAATAGTGTTGCAGCATACATAAATATCATGTTATTATGTTGTAAAAGTGTCATATTAATATACTTCTCGGGATTGTCACTTCATATCTAACCATTCAGGTCATTTATGCAATGCATATTTTGCTCACTGCTTTTATATAATTTGTGATTATTTCACATTGACTGCAGTAGAAGGATGGTCATGCTTAGTAGAAGGAGTAATTTGTGTATTTTTGCTACACAAATTACTTTCAAGCTGTGCAGTTAGAGTATCTTCAAATTTCATGATAGATATTTTGATTATCTAATGTATTCTAATTATGATAAGTTCATGGCATTGTTTTTATGAAATACTTGCAGGCCATCCGAGTTGTCTTAAGTTTACGGATAATATGCTTACATCTACCGGCAAATATGGTTGGCAATGTATTGAATGTAAAAGTTGCGCGATTTGTGGATTCTCAGATAATGATGTTAGTTTACTCTTCTCTAAATTCTTGTTCCGATTTTTCACTATAATATAAGTTTATTTTTCTGCTTAACTTTTATAAAATTCCTTGTCAGTAACATTTGATGTATTTTTTGTTATGTTTGAGAAAAAGTTATAAATTCTAAAAATGAATATGTTTTAGGATCAGTTGTTATTCTGTGATGATTGTGATCGCGGCTTTCATCTTTACTGTTTGCGGCCTCCACTTCCGCAGGCTCCGGAAGGTGAATGGAGTTGTCATTTGTGTCAGAAGCAGTTTGGTGCACAAGCTTCGCTTCCAGCAGTAAATACAAAGAAATGAATATGTGTCTATCCTAATTGGGCCTGACTACTTAGATCTTCCGTCATATCCTTAATTAACATTTGCATTTCCGAATGATCTGTAATGCTTCATTTTCAAGTTTTTATTGTTTACTTGCAAATTTGCCGGTGAAATAACTAGCGTTTTTGGCCAATTCTAAGTTTTTCTGTTTTTTCAAGCCAAAAGAAACGTGTCGGTTGTGCTTGTTTGTCAAATGTCAAAAGAAAAAGAAACAGATGTTTATGTATAATCCAATCCATTTGATAGTTTAAAATTATAATGAACGTGAAGGGAACATTAGAATTTAGTGAACAGAGAAGGGAGAACAACTAATTAATATTTTTATATGATTACTAGCATTGATGTATTTTTATTGAGAAGCATACCTCGAAATAACATATCTGTACGGGTTATCCAAAGCACTATAGTTATATTCACTGATTCATCAGTAATTGTTATAATTATCATTTGAAAAAATGAATTAAAAAATTAACAGAAATTTTATCTGATCTTTTATAATAAGTGCTTTACATAATACATCCGACAGAGTATTATTTCAAATTTATTGTTTTTTGCCGATATGTTTGATTTTGATTTTTTTTTCTTCTTTGACTTGGTTGCATTGTCTCATTACAATAAATTTATCATTTACAATTAATTGTTTGTTTACATTTCAAAAAAAAAAAAAAAGGAAGAAAGAAGAAGGAAAATTGTAAACATAAATACACAATTATTAAATGTTCGCAAATTTCTGCATAAAAAATTGATTTTATCATACTAATATAAAGTTCATGCTAATTTATTATATTAATTTACAAATTTTTAATCATGTAAGCATACTATTTATTATTCATGTAAGCAATTTCAACATTTAAATTTTGCTTTAAAATAGTGAAACCGGATATTTGCATATAGATAGAAGTGAACATGCAATTTATATCTATCTATCTATCCTCATCTAATTCAATTTACTTTACTTACACTAAGTCGCAAATAAATTTGGTCAACAAAATCCAATGAAATTTGCTATGGTATCGAATGTTCGAAACAACTTAAACAATTTCCTTATTTTCCTTTTTTTTTTTTCATACTTCTTCATTTCATTACAGCATTTGCTATTTATTTTTTTCCACTATTTTCTCTTTATTACTCTTTTTTTTTTCTTCACTAATATTTAATTACTATCACTAATATTTGAACAAAATTTTTTTTTAATATATTATTTAAAAAGATTTATTTAAGATATTTCTAAAAAAAGAAAAAGAAAAAAAAAATCATTCATTGAAGTTGATCCACTCCATTTTGACATTCTATTTATTTACAATTGCTAATCAATTTCTTTGTTGAATTTTAATTGTATAAAATTTTTAATCGCTTTCAAAATTTATCTATTAAAGTTTATTTCATTGTTTTATGAAAATTTTAATTTTTAGTAATGTTAAATTGAGTTAGCAAAATAACTAAGAAAAATGATCTGACTTAATCGATTTGCTCAAAAATTTCTAATCGTTGCTTAAATAATATAATTTGTGAGAGTAGTTTATTTGTTCTTTTCTTCTGCTAAATTTAAAGTTTTAGGATGAAGCGCAAATGGTATCGTTTTAGTTTTAGCATTTATAAACAAAGCCATTTATTATTTGCATATCAATAAAATAAAGTAAAAAGTAAAAAGAAAGAAATTCAAAAACGGATCGCTTAATTTATAGCTAAATTTATTGATACCTTTGATTTGCTTATTATATTTCATCTAAATGAAAGGCTTTATCTCATCCACTCTTTTATTACAATCATTTTTTTTGATCATAAATTCGCACACAATTTGCGCCATTATTATTCATCGATAATTGTATAATTTTTTATTCAATTCAAATTATTATTTATAAAATATTTATAAAAATACATTTATAAAAATAAATTATCATTTATAAAACATTTTTAAAATATATAACATCAAGAAAAGCTATATGAAAATTCATTTTTTATGTTATGAAAAATCATTTAAACATACCTATATGGCTGTTTATTTTCAAATTCGACCAAATAATTTAGGAAAACAATTTCCATGAAGGTAAATGAACTATTTTTAATTTAGCTTAATCAAATTTCAATATTCTAAATGATCTATTTATCTTGTATAATATGTGCAAACTTACTAATTTTGCTAAATTCTTTTGATTCAACATTTTTTCACTCGTATTTAAATCATAATTAATCATAAAAAACCCACTATCATAGCTATTTCACTTTAATAGTATTAATAGAAATATGGAATATAAGGCGATAACTATGTTACAAAAACTTCAAAATAGATACTTCAAAATCAATCATTTCTCATCAGAAATATCAAATTGCACCAAAATAAAAAATAAAAATAAAGTAAATAACTTGAAAAAGCAGTAAATATTTTTCTTATTTTTGTTATGCAAAACAGAGTTTTTTATAGAAAAAAATCTATAACTTTATAATATCAGAATTACGAGATATTTTGTTATTTGATAATATCGTAACGATTCATACTTTTTTTATTATTGTATGGGGAAAATTATTTGATATTATCAGTCTGTTAGATGAATCAGATTATTCATTAACTGTTGATAATATTTGAAAATGAATTCGATATGAACTGATAATTTTATGAAAAAATTGTTGATAAATTAGTCTAACAAGATGAATTTTTTAAGAATTGTATCTTATCAATTCAGTATGATAAAATAAATGATAAATTAATAAAATATATTTAGCAATAAACAGCATCATCAATATGTTAGTTGCTTAATAGATAATTATGATCATTATGCAAATGCTATATAATGTTACTAATTATTAAACCAATTTTTATTTAACGATAACAAATGGATCGAAAGAATCATAAATACAACTTACGATTATCATTCACAGCAATCAATTACAAACTTGCAACTCTTCATAATTATAGTTATATCTATCATTCATATCATAATTATCAGTTACAACTATGTATCATATCATAGTTATGATATGATTATAACTTATAATTATCTTTTAGATCATAACCATCAGTTACAACTAACAATCATGTCATGACTAATGAGCTACTATCATATTGTGATTATGAGTTAGAGTTACAACTATCTATCATATCATAATATCTATTTATTATATCTGTCATCGAGTTACAGTTACAACCGTTATGAGGTACAGTAACAGCTTTATGAGTTACAGTAACAACTATTACTAATTACAGTAACAACTATTATGAGTTATATTACATTGACAACTATTATGCAGTTGTTACGAGTTATAGTTACAGCTATCTATTACATCATAATAATGAGTTACAGTAACTTCTATTGTGAATTATAGTTACAACTATTATGAGTTACAGTAACAGCTTTGTGAGTTACAGTAACAACCATTACTAATTATAGTAACAACTATTATGAGTTATATTACATTGACAACTATTATGTAGTTAATGCAGCTATTATACCATAATAATGAGTTACAGTAGCTACTATTATGAGCTACAGTAACTACT